AAAAGGTGTGTTGGTTGGTATGTGGTTCCTTGGCTGAAAGATCCATGTGGGCAAAGGAAGTAGAAATGACCAAGAGGGGGAGGTGTTCAGAAACCTTTTGAGTATGTATGGTAAATGACTTTAAGGGGTGATTCAAAGCTTATAAAGTTTTGGGAGTCTGAAGGTAGGAACATCCAGGATGAGCAAAGGTCATTGAGGACTTAGGGTACCAAAATGTCTCATTAGCGTAAGGAAGCTTTTCAGGAATCTCAGGTGCTTGTTAAGTAGGTTCTTGTCAGGAGAAAGGAAATTGATTCTGTAATCTCACTAAGGCTATGTGCCACACCTCAGGTGATGGGGGTGGGGCTTCTACTTCCCCAGACAAGATCAGAGAAGGAGAAGCCCTGCCCATGAAGGAAGTCTCCATATTGCATCAAGCTCAGAGACTGTCTAGCCATGGTAGACTTTGACCTCAATTAGCAGAGTTTTCCAACATTGGTATCAGACTGGACAATCAGAAAGTGTGTCTGCAGCGTAGACTTTTCACAAAGAATTTGGTAGGCAAGAATGGAGTGAAACGGAGTCAGATAGACTTCCTGTGTCACCTGAAGGAGTTAACATACTGTAGTGTAAGTATTGGGGAACCAGTGCATGGTGAAGACCTCCGCAGAGGGGAGACCCTCACTCAAGTCTCAGAAAGTCGCGACCACCCAGTAATCTGCTCGAGACACCATATACCGGAGCAATTGCGAGGTTTATTAGGGCGTGACAACTAGCTGCCGGTCAATTCGTATGCCCACGCAGGAGCGGAATTGACCCCGACAGCCAGTTTGAGTGGGGTTTTTAAAGGGAAAAAAGCACAAACCAAGGAATGGGGAGGGGTTGAGGGGTTGCTAGGGTGGTATAACATAAAAATAGTGGAACATTCCAAAGGAATCCAACCTACGGGAGTCAGGGTCAGGTAAAAACTCTCTGTACGCTTATCTTTCTCAAGAATGTGGTCCTGCCCCGTTACTTCGGCCTTGCCCTGTCACTGCGGTTCTCAGCTTGGTTCCCAGCTTGGTTCCACCTAGTTCACTTGCATTCTTTCCTTTCTCTTTGCAGATAGGTCAGTTCCAGTAATGGTGACTGGTCTTTCCACATTCCTAACTTGCTTCATGCCTCGGTTTCTCCATGTCTTTATAAAGAAAGCCTAAAGAATATTTTATATGTCTAAAAAGAATTCTATATACCCAGTATCTATAATTTTTCACTCTACAATGGTAGAAGCATTTCCTTGGGAAAATGGGAGATTATGAATGCATGGAGCTTTTTATCGCCAAACACTACAATGTTACAATATTACATAGGTGTGTTCTCCTGTGGAAACATCTAAAGACTAGTCAGTGAGGCTTCTGAACCCCAGGCAAGCATGAGAAGAGCCATGTGGCTCTAGCTATACTAAAATTGTTAGGAAAAAATTAAATATACTTGTGCTATATTTCTAGCCAATGACATTGTTCTTACAGATGAGACAACCCTCCTACTAGCTCCCAGATTCTCTCTTAAGAAGAAAAAATGATACATCCTGCCTCTAGTACTTCAGCTGTTCTGAGATCCACCCAGACAATTGAGTTCTGTTTAGCCTATCTGAGAGTGCTAATGGATGTGTTATACTCAGCCACCCAGGGCCATTAAGGAGAGAGAAAGGTGATGGTTGTAATAGCCATTTCTAACCTAACCCAGAGCTAACAGCTAAGAAGCTTTAGTGTCTGGAGAGATGGCTAGTGGCTTAAAGCATTTAATGTTTCTGTGGACGACCTGAGTTAGATTCCCAGCACCCACATCAGGTGTCTCACAAGTGCAGTTCTAGGGATCCAGTACCCTCTTCTGGCCTCCTTCCATGTACATACATACATCATACATACACACATACGTACATACATACATACATCATACATACATACATACATCATACATACATACGTACATACATACATACATCATACATACATACATACATCATACATACATACACACATACGTACATACATACGTACGTACATACATACACGCATACATACATACATACATCATACATACATACGTACATACATACATCATACATACATACATACACACATACGTACGTACATACATACACGCATACATACATACATACACGCATACATACATACATCATACGTACGTACATACATACATACACACATACATACATACACACACATATACATACATACATACACGCATACATACATACATACATACATACATACATACATACATAGAATTTAAAATAGAAGTAAAAGGAGTTCACAATTCAAGATGACCATGATCATGACCGCCAGCACCCTCAGGACCTGGAAGCCTGAAAGACCCACAGGTGTGTGTGCCAGGGGGAGATAGAGCAGCAGAGGACCCTGCAGAGCCTAGAGCATCTTCAGAACAACTTTTAAAAAGGCAGGTCTTGTGGGAAAGATGTTTTTAAAAAGTAGTCTCATGAAATTGGGAGGAAAGATGGCAGAGCAGAGCTGCATGTGTGTGGAAAGGTGGGGAAACCAGACAGGGAGACCACAGGAATAGGAGCGGTATAGAGCACAGCTGCAGCACGCACAGGGTCCTCAGCTCTGAGATGTTGAGGCCCGTGTCCCTAGCCTGGAGCTGCTGATAGCCTCCCTGCTCACCCTGCTTTGGCGTGCACCGAGGGGAGCTGGCTGAGTTGCCGCCTGTGGGCTGCAAGTGGGTCATACCTGGTGAGCAGGCAGGGGAGCTGGCACCGAGGCAGAGAGGTGTGGAGCAGCTTGGAGCTCCTGAGCATCTGGCCTCCCCACCCCAAATGGCCTGTCCAGCCACAGACAACCCTGATTCTGGGCAACAACAATATCCGACCGAGATGGGTCTCAGTGATAGTCCACTATTTAAGGTGCTTCAGAAACCAGAAACCTTGAACCAGACAATGACTCATTGCAATAATTGTTTGCATATAAAGCTGTTAAAGCAAAAAATATACTGTGTGACACCCTTTCTGGACAGCTCATGGGTGTTCCGACCAAAGTCAGAAATCCTGCTAGAAAAATTCTAAGGGAAATGTTCACTCTCCCAGCAGTTCTCTCTGGGTAGTTATCTCTTGCAAATGAAGCCCAGTCTTTTCTTTACATATCAATGCAGTCATTTACTCCAGGTTCCCTTTTGGTTATCCCACAAATCAGCATTTTATGACCTTAGCCCTTTGATTCTTAGGGAAAGACAGTAAGCACATTTTTTTAAACATAGCAAATGAATTCAGAGATCTGCCTGCCTTTATAAGCACAGAGAATTAGCTAATTGGGTGGGATCCAGCTCTGAGATCACCATTCCCACCATGCCTGGACCCAAATTTACTCTGTCCAGGCTGACCTTGAACTCAGGGATCTACCTGACTTTGTAAGCACAGACAGTAAACTTGACTGGTTGAGATCCTGCCCTACAATCACCACTCCTTATATCTCTCTGTCTCCTTCCTTAATATCTCTCTGACAAGCTGTCTCATAGTGCAACTGCCTCTGTTCCTTTAGGTCCATGAAGCCCCTCATATAATTCATGCTGCATCCTTATATTTTTGCATATTTTTTGAGAAATCTGTTTATATAATTTTTGAAGTAATGTTTTCAGAGTTCTTTCCTATAGCCTTAAGGGCTGTCATGAAGGTCACAGTATTTGCCGATTTGCTAAGGTCATTAGCTTCCCAGACTTGTGCTGCTTCTGATTATAATGGAGTCATTAACTCTGGCGGGGAGAACACCTCCTAAAGGAGGAGTGTAAAGTAAATTATACACGTTATTATACAAACAAGCTTTACACCTAGCAACTGTCAACAGCTGTGGAGGCCCGTGCCCTGCTAGCTCTGCTCCAGGGGCAGGATCTGTGGCCTGCTGTTTGTTCTGATGGTCATGCAGGACTTGGCAGGAAGCCATGTGGATATCCATGGTCTGTGCTGCTGTCAGAGGCCATGTTGGTATCTGTGGTTTGTGCCGCCATCAGAGACCATGCAGATTAGTGATCCTGCTGCAACTAGCTCTTATAGGCAAGGAAGCTTCTTTTGCTTTTATCAATGACTGCAGACTTCTGAAGACTTCAATGAATGAAGGCTTCTGTGACCCTCCCCCACTCCAAAGAAAAAGAAAGAAACAGTCTAGGAAGCCTTTGAAGAGAGTCCTTAAAAATTGTGATAAAGATGCTGAAGTGTAACCCTTCACAGTTGATGGCTTCTAGTGGGGTTGGGGTGGGGAAGGACTCAGTTATCTTTAAGGAAATGGCCACTGGGAGTTAGACCATGCTCCAATGAGTATATGGGTGACACAAACTGTACTTTTTGTGGTATTTTTTTTTTTTAATGATGGAGAAAGGGTGGGTGAGTGAACTAGAAAGAATGGGAAGTGAATGTCATCAGTGTGCATTGTGTGGAATTCCCAAATAATATAAAGTATTACGTTGGAAAAAAATAAAAATACAGTCTTGAAAAAATAAACCAAAACTTCAGTGTCCAGAGTTGTCTGTGGGGTGACTTTTGAGGAGGAAAGCACAGTGTCCAGGGTTGTCTAGGGGGTGACTTTATGAGAAAGAAAGGAAAGTAGGCCACTGGATGTTAGAGTCTGTACTCTGAAAGTGATACATGGACTGATGCTGCCTTCCTTTTGTCTTCTGTGCCTCAGTTGGTGCATATTTGGAGATGTTTCCTCTGTTACATGAGATACAAAAGTGCTGGACGTGGGGGTGAAGATGCTGTACATTCCCAGCCTCCTCCACACGGGACTTTTACACTAGTGCCAGCCTCTGAATAGGTGCTGTACTCCCTCCACAGACACTAGTGCCAGCCTCTGAATAGATGCTGTACTCCCTCCACAGACATCAGGAAGAGGCTCAATGGACAGTTTCTTGTTTCCTTCTCAGTACAGCAAAGGAAGTCAGTGACTCCATAATGCTACAATGTGTTTCTGTATTATTTTAAGTATATTGACAGTGTACCTTTATTTTATTCATAGCTCCAAAAGGGATTCTTCATCTTTCTCCTGATGTTTATCAAGAGATGGAAGCCAGCCGCCACAGAGTGACCTCTGGCACAACTCTAGGCTACTTATCACCCAAAGATATGAACCAACCTTCAAGCTCTTTCTTCAGTGTGTCTCCCTCATCGACCAGTTCAGCCACAGTTGCCAGGGAACTCCTTATGAATGGAACATCTCCTACTGCTGAAGCCATAGGTTTAAAAGGAAGTTCTCCTACTCCCCCTTGTTCTTCAGTACAGCCTTCAAAACAACTGGAATATTTAGCAAGGATTCAAGGCTTTCAGGTATGATTTTAAAGAAAAAACAAAAAGAAAAAGTAAAAGTCATTAGCCCCAAATCATTTCTGTCCATCAGAAGGCTCATTCTTGCCTGGTAATGTGGCCTCTGTGCTATTAACATTGTAATTTATTTAGAAACACAAAAGACGGGACAAAAGAGAGTCATAGCACAGACTTTGTTTTCTGTCCCGTATGTCCAGGAACTGTTGCTGCCTGGCTCTCTGCTGTATTGATATTCACATTTATACTCTCTCTGTCTGTCTCTCTGTCCCTCTCTCCCTCTCTTTCTTCCCCTCCATCTTCCTTTCCAATCCTGTCTCCTTCCTCTCTCCCTCTCCCCTGCCCCTTCCCCTCCATGTCTCCATCCTTTCCTTCTACCTGGATCCTGTCTTCCAGTTGGTATTGATTGGCACCTCTTCCTTCTCACTTTGTTATGCACGAACAAGATTCTCCCAGGAGACATTTGGTGTTAGTGTTGATATCACTTCCCCTTTTTACAGTCATGGTTGAGTCTTTCTGCTGCTGATTTGATTTTATAGCAGTTTTGAATTTCCCATCCTATAGTTAGTAATGACACAGGTACACTTCTAAGGTCTAGCACCCTTGAAGTCTGTTACCTTAGGGGGCATTAAACATGGCACTGAGCACTTTCCGGTGGCTGGGGTATAATGAAGGTCTGTTGTAGTGGATCACGTGCTGAGCCACGGTGGTGGAGAAGCATCTACCTCCACTGATACAGCAGCTGTCTCATGGTGATCTCAGACCAGCACACAGCAGAGTCATGTGTATGGATTTGAGAAGGAAGCTTCTCCCCTATTTATTCTTGAGCCCTTTGAGGGGGGAGGTGGAAATACCCTATGAAACCAACAATCCTTTATATACGTGAGAGATTTTAAAGGAATTTTTAACTATGGGAAGGGAAGTTCATGTGTGCTGACTCCTAGTTGCCTTGAAAGCCATGTACTGAAATGTAACTGTCAGCCAATGGGATGAGACTGCAGCTTGCGTGTGCACAGGATGCTCTGACTCCCCACATTTCATTGCCTCACCTTCCATCTTAGTCCTCCTCCTTAAGAACAAACTCTGTAACTTCTTGTAGAAATGTTCTAGATCTGTATTGTGTAGAAGATCATGTATTATAAATGTTTCACGGTGTCAGTTATACAATGAGAAAGAAGATCATGTGTTGGGAGTATTTTGCATGTTTGATTTGTTTTGGTTTTTTGGTTTTTTTTTTTACTTCAAAGATCCCTTCTGATTCTTTCAATCCTATCACTAGGTAGTTGCTAGTGTTTTTAATCAGATTATTAATATGAAGTTGAAGAAGCTGTTACCAATTATTGACTCTGTCATCTGAAATTTAAATGCTTAATTTCAAGTTATAATTTTAGAATTTGTTATTTACCTTAAGAATTACAATAAATCACTGTTTAAACAAAAGACTTTGATTCATATATAGTGAAAGCACTAGACTAAGATTTAGTTCTACCAATAATCTACATAGGATAAATTAAAATAAACTGTGATGAAAAGAAACCCACTGCTCATTTATAAAAGTCTGCAAGCGATGGTTCGTCTGTGTGCACACAGATCATGTTGCACTCTGGCTCTTGGCTGAACTTTGACATTTCTAAGTTCCTTATGCATTAGTTCTTGCCCGTGACAGCAGCTATCATCTTATCCTGTCTTCACCAAATTTGTACTCTACTACCCCATTGCTGGACTCACTGCTTAGACCTGTCTCAGAAGCTTTCACTGAGGTAATATACTTTCACTCACAGACAAGGTAAACATCTCCAGATCTGTGACCATGGTTTCTACACATCACTGTGCTGCTTCACTGGAATGAGCTGGCACTGATGGGAAATGTGCTGCCCATGGATTATAGCCTGCAGCCGCAAGGCAAACCATCTTTGGAGAGTAGCCTCTGGCCTGTCATATGTGTACACATCATCATGTCACCCTAGAAGGTTCTTTGTGATTAAGTGATTAAAGTGTATTTCTTTCTCAGTAATTTTCTCAGGTAGGAAAATGTACAGATTTTTCTTACATGATTTAATTAGACTGTAGCTAGAAATTATAAGACCAGCTTGTTAGAAATTATATGCTCTTCTGTTACTTTTGTTTCTGGAATTTGAAAACAATAAATTCATTTTCTTTGTTTGTAGGTCAATAACTGTTCATCTCATTCCACATTGAACAGTTGTCATTCCTACTGAATGTGTATAGACTCTGCTTGAGCCTTTGTTTGCCCACTGCGATTTGATTTAAGCCTAATTATGCTACTGTATGTGTTAGCTTTATTGTATTGCCAAATGAAGGCAAATTATTTGCTTTGACTTAATTTTATTTTCATTTCCCAGTCTTTAATTGAAATTTACAAATGTCAAAAAGGTAATTTGCTCAGGCACATATAGGTATTAAGTTCACTTTCTTCTGTTTAAATCTATAAAATAAAATTATTACACAGTGAATGCTCTTAACAAAATTGATTTCACAAAGCAGAGTGTGACTGACACCCATTCCTAGTCATCCTTTCATTCTCAGGAATTCCCATCGAAAATTTTTACATTTTATTTTGGTATGTGTGTGAGAGAGTGTATGTGTGTGTATGTATGTATATGTGTATGTGTGTGCATTTGAATGAGAGTGTATGTGAGTATGTATATATGTATATGTGTATGTGTGTGTGAGTGTATATGCATGTGTGTGTGTGTGGATGAGAGAGAGAGTGTGTGTGTGTGAGTGTGAGTGTTTGTGCTCGCGCACATGTTTGTACAGATGCTCTTGGAGGCCAAAGGCATCAGATGCTCTGGAACTGGATCACAGGTGGGTACTGGGAACTGGACTCCGGTCCTTTACAAGAACAGTCAAAGACTGCTGAACCTTCTTGTCGGTTTCTACCATCAAAAGAGAAAATGTCTTTCAAACCCTTTCATAAATGAATGTTTTTTCTCTTAAGTTCTATTGAGTGCATTTTAATTATCCCTTAAAGCTGGAAATTCTTACTAATTTGTCATTTTTAGGAAAGTATTTATGTCAATAGTTTGTGAACCCCAGACATTGTCTAACATAACCAGTCTGCATTTATAACCCCTGCATATTTGAAAGAAAAAGTCAAAGCTATAGTTAAGTCATAGTGTTTCAGAATTTCCGATTGTAACCCTTGCTACTCTTTAGTTACAAAACCATACAGTGGCTCAAAGTTGTTCAGTTTATCAGAAAACTGTGGCAAAGATAGTTGGAACCCTTAGCATTTGAGCTGAAGTAGATGATTTTGTCTTAAACATTGCCTTCATCTTAAAGGATTTACCCTTACTTTTTTTTTTGTACTAATAGTAAGAATGATCAGTTGCTTGTTCAAAGGAGTCATGAGGAAAATTCAATTTGAAATGAAAATGAAGTCATTTTTAGCAAATAACGTTCCTAGATGTAATTACTTTCACTGTGCTCTTCTCTCCCATTGGTTACCATTCAGTGGGTGGAATCCCTTGTAGTCCTTTAGAATGAAATACATTGTTTATTCCTTACATGAATGACACAGGGAAGCACTTAATTGGTTTTTCAGTTAAACTATATTAGTTTATTTTCAAAAATGTGAGTTTTACATAGTGATGCCATTTCTAGCTAAAGGAGACTATGTACTTAAACAGGAAACGGATTTTTGTTGTTGTTTTTTGTTTTTGTTTTTGGTTTTTTGGTTTGTTTTTGTTTTTTTTTTGATAAAACTCATGTAAATACATTTCATTTGCCTTCTCTTGAAGTTGGGTTCACTTTGATGGTACAGGCTTTGTTGTAGGTCTACAGTGTGATATTAATATAGGTTGCATTGTCATGGGGGGTACAGGTAGGAAGGAGAGGCTAGGCTCCCTCAGAATCTTCATTTCCCCTTCTATTCTCCACACAGAATACTTAATAATCCACTTTTTAAAATCTTCAAAGTGGATGTTTACAGTGGAATATTTTCTTGTTGGTGGTGGTGGATTTTTAAGAATGGGATATGTAATTTTTAAATGGCCAATAAAAGTACAATGTTTTGCAAATAGAATATGGAGAAAGAAGCTGTTCATCTTCTCCACATTCTCCTTGCAACCTTACCTTCACTGTGTTCCACCTGAGTTCAGATCCTCATGCAAGCTATGATGTAAGTCACAGTCCAGAGTGGTAAGAAAGATGCCTTATGGTCCTGGTCTGTGATTTCCAGTTACTGCTTGAAAGCACTTCTTGTGCTTAACCTCAGCTTCCTTCCAAAGACTCAGAAAATTAGGTATGTATTTGGTCTTCCCATAATGACCTGAATGCTTAGGCATATTCTTTGAATGGGGAACTGAATGTATGCAAGTTGACTTACTCTGTCATTGTTAGACTGTATGCTGGCTAAACCCCCAGAAGTTTGCAAACAGATAACTATTTTTTTCAAAAATGAGTTACAAATCACCTCCATTACAGAATTCAGATCACCTCATTTTACTGAAACATAGAAAGACTATACAGAAAATCCCTGTGTTTGAAGAAAGAAATCTTGGTGTTCAATTTGAAATAAAAATGAATAATATTAGCAAGTTATCTTTCTTGGATGTATTTCACTTCTTTCTTTCTTTCTTTCTTTTTTTTTTTTTTTTTGTTTTTGTTTTTTGAGACAGGGTTTCTCCTGTATAGCCCTGGCTGTCCTGGAACTTACTCTGTAGACCAGGCTGGCCTCGAACTCAGAAATCCACCTGCCTCTGCCTCCCAAGGGCTGGGATTAAAGGCGTGCGCCACTGTATTTAATTTCTTACTTTGGTGGGTAGCAGTTACATAGGTAAGAAACAAGCAAAGCGGACTGTAGTTTGGCACCAAATTGTTCAAAACTGACCTTATTCTAAAGAACTGCAGTATATCCATTAAATGGTATCATTTTTATAAACTTTGAGAGTAAAGTATAATATACTATATTTTCCCACATAAAAACCATAAAGGCACACTAGTGTTTTAGATCTCTAAAAACAAAGACACTCCACCTGAAG